AAAAAAAATCATGCTGTTGGGGGAGGGGAATAATCTTATATAAATCGGAATTTAAAAAATTAAAGCTGGAAGTTTACAAAAATGTCCTCCTACAGATTTACTAGAAAAAAATGAGTAATTTCTTTTTTAAAATAATTTGCAGTAATATTTAATAATAAGAAAATACTTGCTATTTTATTCCAGACTTACCATATTATATATCTAACATATCTTAAGCATCCTTGTGATCTAAAAAGACTTCAGAAGTCTATTGGTTCTAGCAAATTGAATTTACAAAGACATTTTTTAAAGTTTGACCCAATTCAGTGCTGTAGTTCAATAAATAAACAATAAATAAATGCTAAACAAGATGTTTATCATCCATTTCAAACTAAATAAAGACAGTAATCTAGTCAAGGTCATCCTACTGAAAGCTTTGACTCTGTGGAGTCCAAGGACCAGTTAAAAACTGTTGTTCTGGGTTGGGGCAATAAGGCTTAACCCCCCAAATCTCTGTCTTAATTACCCACTGTTCTGATGTAACAGTTAGAGACACAATACACCATCTAGTCCGTTTGTTGATTAGATATGTGATTTATACCGAGTTCACTCAGCAATGTTGTAATGACTTTTGGGTGCATTTTTTCCCATGGTATGAGCAAATTTGCTTCTCATCCTCAATAAATTTATGAGGCTCAAAGGATTTACCCTGCAACGGTAAGCCCATTTTCCTATTCTTTATTATTGCATTGGCACTGAGGGAACACTCGATAATATGTGAAGCTTCATTTTGTTGCCCAGGGCAAGGCTGACATTGAATATTTTCAAATAGCGTTGCACAAAATAGTGACAGAAGAAAAACAATTGCTCAAAACCAAACTGTGATTACACCCAGATTCTAAATTGCCTCCAACAATTTACAGTCTGTGTTGTCTTCCAATTTATTTTTCACAATCAAGTTCAGCTTTTGATTTACATGATGTGTGTGTACAGAGTTTGCCTGACCTGTAAACAAAGGCTGCCGGAGGGCCTTGAACCTATACATATGCAGATATTGATCTACATAAGGATGTGCACTGCTGCAACATGTCAGTGAAC